CACACACACACACACACACACACACACACACACACACACACACACACACACACACACAGGTAATGGGGGGTGCTGTGAATGTTTTAGGTATCCGAGGATCAACAAGGAGTCTCTGCTGCCGATCGCCAAAAGCATGGGGACGAATGGCGAGAACGCGGAGGCCTGGTACCCGCCGGGTCACGGAGACATCTACGCCAGCTTCTCCAACTCCGGGCTGCTGGACCGCCTCCTCGCTCAGGGCAAAGAGTACATCTTCGTTTCCAACATCGACAACCTGGGCGCCACCGTCGACCTCTTCATCCTCCACCACCTGATGAGTCAGCCGGCCGACAAGCGCTGCGAGTTCATCATGGAGGTCACCGACAAAACCAGAGCCGACGTCAAGGTCAGCGCCGTCGCACGGGATCGGACGTGACCAGGTTCTTTTTCCGCCGCAGCCTCTAAGTGCTTCCTGTTTCCTGTGCGCAGGGCGGGACTCTGATCCAGTACGAGGACCACCTGCGGCTGCTGGAGATCGCTCAGGTACCGAAGGCGCACGTGGACGAGTTCAAGTCCGTCACCAAGTTCAAGATCTTCAACACCAACAACCTGTGGATCTCGCTGCCCGCCGTCAAGAGGCTGCAGGAGAAGAACGACCTGGACCTGGAGATCATCGTCAACCCCAAGGTGACGCACGCCAACGCCTCCGTTATCATTATATCGTTATTATTACTTTCACATTCTACCAAAGAGAATATCTGTAATTCATCACGTGGTCGGTTTTAAATGTTTAAAATAAATCTTTATTCGTTTAGAGAGAAAATCAATCACCAACTAATCAGATCATTGATTGATCATCTAAAACCATCAGGAGGTTTTTTCTTAATTAATTGAATAGTTTCGTGTCGTTCTGCTGATTGTTGTGTTTTCTGATGTTTTATTGAAGTAAGAAAAGGAATAATTCCACATTTTATTTTCACAATAAAAGTCTTTCAGTCCAAAATGCTCCCAAACAAATTAAATGTGTTGAATGAATCAGTTCAACATTTAAAACTGAAACCACTGAATCTCTCCCCAGACGTTGGACGGCGGTCTGAACGTCATCCAGCTGGAGACGGCGGTGGGCGCCGCCATCAAGAGCTTCAAGAACCCCATGGGTGTGAATGTCCCGCGCAGCCGCTTCCTGCCGGTGAAGACGTCGTCCGACCTGCTGCTGGTGATGTCGAACCTGTACAGCCTGGACGCCGGCTCGCTCACCATGAGCAAGAAGAGAGAGTTTCCCACCACGCCGCACGTCAAGCTGGGCAGCTCCTTCACCAAGGTCAGCTGACGGGTTATTGATCATCTCAGAACCTCTTCAGATAAACTTCCTGTCGTCTCGTCGTTTGGTTTCTGGAGACAAAGCTTCGTTTCTATCGTCATTTTATTAATAATTGATAAACAGGATATTTACGTTGAGGGAACTTTGTGTTTCTTCATGATCTCATGATCTTAATAATAATTTCGTTATAGAGATATTGGAATTTAAAAATCCTGATCGAAGCCGCTCTCAGTGTCAAATCTTCACATAAAAAAACAATATGATTACTTTGTTTATTGTGCGTTTTGCTTCTTTTTCGATAAATGAATTCTTTGACACGATAACGTCTTAATTATGTAAAGTGGCTTGAGATAGTATCTG